GATTGCACATAACCCCTTTTCTTTGTGTTATTCTAAGAGCTCAAAAGATTTAAAAGCACAATGCAATGCTCATTCTGTTTGGCAAAACTCCCAACAAACTGACATTGTGTACTTGTCCTGCTGAGAATAGCTTTGGCCTGCAGGTGGCAACACTGTCCTGTAGGGTTAAAGGTTGAGGAAACAGCAGGGTACCGTTACCATGCCTCCCTCTGTTTTGACCACTGGTTGAGAGTAACAAGCTCAGGGTGTCATCTGATAGTGTCGAGGGTTTACAAATTGCTGACTTGCATTCATAACTTCCTCTGGAATTGTAATTTGACTTTAACTTGTAGTTTTGACCTATTTAAATGTATTTATATGCCAATATGTGTATATAACATCTTCTAAAGAAATATGGCACTTTCCAAACACTACAAGTAAACTAAATTAATAAGTTGTTAAGAACCCCATAAGACCATTAAAGATCTGCATCTATGCACCAGATTCAACCTGCTAAAAGGTTGCTGATGCATCAGAGGCTGTTAATAGTCCTGCTGTTGCCACAGCACATCATCTAATTGACTACACAGCAGTTGGTGGAGAGAAAGACCTTGGAACAGACCAGCTAATTACACTATGTGTGACAGCTATCCATTGCAAACCTCCCTGAATCCAGGAAGTATGCAAGCAAAGCTGCAAGGCCTTTCCCACTGCGTTTGCCAGGACCTGGCCCGAGTTCAGCACCTCCAGAGTATTCAATATACCTGGCAGGTGGAAACTCATTTGTCACCGCCTCTTCTTCAACCCGCTGTGCTGACATGGCCACAGCTATACAGTGGGTTGTATAACACACCAAAGTTGAAAAAAAAAGACAACTGACCTGAAGGATATGACTTTACACCAAAAGAGTATTTATTCCTGGTTTTTCACTCTTCCTCAAAAGTGCATATGGTGTTTTACAGTTTGCACAAGTCATTTTTCAGAACATTTAACACATCTGAATAACAATAACAGTAAAATATGTGTACCATGTTGAGAAATAATCCGCAGGCAACTCATAAATAAGGTATAAAAAAATATTCTTTCAGCTGATGATTACTGAATCTTCAAGGAGTTCGCAGTTCCATGAAAAGAAGTGGCTCTTGGTCAATGGAAATTTATGCCTTTACGAGCAAAGCAAACTCTGTGAAAGTAGAATAAGACGACCATTAGTAGTGAACAAAATGTATTCATTATTTTAATTGGACCCAACCTCTGACCAAGACTTTGAGGTTGTGCAGATGATTGCAATGTGTTTTTTTTAACATCCATTCACATTCTTCTAATGCACATTAATTTAGAATCCACTACTAATATATATCAGAATAAATCTTTTATATCTCCACAAAGAACTCTTACCATCAACTCCGATCTTGCCATCACCATCACTGTCACCAGCATTGAGGAAATCCTTGGTCTCCTTGTCAGTGAGTGCTCTGGCAGATGCAGAGAAGTTCTGCAGGAACAGCCTAACAGGGGCACAAAACAGTAGTAGAGTAGATGGAGTAACTATTATGAACATATCAGAATGTACAGATTGGTCTGTTGTTAAATCACTGTGCAGAATGACAATCACTGTAACATGTCAACAAGGCTTTCCGCAGGGATTTAAATGTATGAAGTCATAAAACCCTCAGCTTCATTAGTGTTGTTTTGTTGTATGTGCAGTAAGTGTGTAGTTTGACCCCCAGATTAAAGCCGAGCTGAAACAAAACAAGCAAATGAGAGGAAAGAGTAAAGCCAGCCTCTGTTGTTCTAAAAACTAAACTGACTAACTAAAAGAAAGTACAGTATTATTACATCTGGGGCATATTTTGGTGCCACAGAGGCATTGCTGGTGTGTGGCTTGAGTGTCTTACTTCAGCTCATCCTCCTCAATGAAGCCACTGTTGTCCTGGTCAATGATGGCGAAGGCCTTCTTGACCTCATCTGCAGACTTGCCGGCCAGGCCGCATGCCTTGAAGAAAGTCTTGTAGTTGAAGGAGTCAGCAGCTGGAAGGCACACATGTTAACACCATAAGCACCCGGCAGGCTGCAAAAGCTCAACACAGGACTTCAGTGTTGATGTAATGTGAGAACTGCGGCTGGCAGTTTATATGACACGTTGTGAAAATGAGCGCACACTGAGGTCTCAGCCCGTTTGTAGCAGTTGTGTGTTTTTTTAAATCAAATTTGCCGTGTAAATTCAGAATGAAGAAAGAAGTCCAGTGCACTCACTGTATACTAAATAAAGATAATGAAGCTCACCTGAGCAGCCATCCAGAGCTGCTTTCAAATCAGCACCATCGAGGACACCAGCCAAGGCCATTTTTTTTTATCTTAGAGAGGAAAGAAGACAAGGCGCAGGATTAGTATAAACATCACAAATCCAGCACAGTACTTTTCAGAAGGTTTGATGGGCTCCTCTAAAATAGGGTATATTAAGCAGAGCCTTAGGCCTGTTGACTAAGCCAGATATTCACTTTCAAGTGTTAAACAAGGCTGATGCTTCTCAAGAGAATGAAAGTTCAGGCATCATTAACACCATACTGGAAAGCGTCTTTCAACATAAAATAGGCTAATGCCTGTCAAAGCCACTTATTTAAGTTTGGTCGCGATCATACTATCATCAACTTTACTAAAGCTTCCACGCAGCATCCTGGTGGTTTTTTTGTTTTTCAAAGGCTAAAGAGCTACTCTTTGCTGATGTCTAGGGCCCAACTGTTGATCCCAGTGCGTTACGCTGCTATGGCACTAATTGGATGATGCTGAGGGGCCAAATCGCGGCAACCCGAATCACTGCCACAAATAACCAATGCAGCTGGGGGAAACGCAGTGATGTAAAACGCGTCGATAGATTTGGGTGTGATATTTGTTTTCATCCGGTTAAAAGAGATCAAGTAAAATAACGCAATTATCATCCACAAAAGCTGATCCTTTGAAATCAAATGGCCACATTTTGGTCTCCTTCTCGCACTGATTGAATTGTCCTGCGGTCCGAACAGTTCTTGGCTATGTTGGCTCCATTTCTCTCTACAGTTATAGTCCAGGGGGATCTCCTTGTCTGAATCCCTGTCCTCCCAGAGTAATCTGCCAGAAGTCAGAGTGGCCTTTGCGGGGCGCACCTCCCACTCACCTTTGCGCTGCGTTGAGGCGAGTGAAAACCAAGGAGGACTCGAGTGAATGCTACAAGCCCCGTTCCTTCGCTCTTATATATCCTTGAGCAACACCATTTACAGCGCTTTGCGTCTCAGTATCAGGTACCAAGATGCATGGGTTTCGAAAAAATGTGTCTAGTAGTCTGGGCCTATTTTTAGGTGAACAAATGAGGATGCTACCATGTGTGAGGAGGCCTATAGCTAGACGTGTGGAAATCTGAGTGGGCCCTCTGCTCACTGGCTCCACGGGGCCATGTTGCCCTCATGTGATTTATAGCCAACATTTAAGATGCTGATTTCGATGTTGTGAGCTTCATCTGAGAGTATAAATGAAATGCATGGGAACGTGAGTGTTTGAATATACTGTAGGCCATGGGTCATATCCCAGTTTGGTTTGTGAGAAAAATGCCACATGAGCGAGCACCAAGGACTCGCGGCCAATTTAACTGCTGTTCACTATCTTAATTAACAGAGGAAAAGACTTAAACCATGGCCTGAAGCTGAGGCATCCCTCTGAAAAAAAGCAGCCTATTAGGCCACTCAAGCGTTGTAGGCTACATAGGCTATATATGGAATGTCTTGTTTTGATACTGCCCTCAAAAACACTATTCCTTTTAACTCATTTGTGTTATCTCTAAGTTATAATTATGGAGACAAGCTCCTCTGTGATAGACTGCTCCTTAGACTGTTGTGTTTGTTAATTCTGTCATCTGTTGTGTAGGCCTACGTAAAATGTTCCCATAGAGCGCATTCATATGCATTATGAACCTGCAGTGCGTCTCTACAAAATAATGACGTTATGATATATTTAATCTTTTAATAATACCAGATAAATGTGACAGTCGTGCCCACAGTGTCTGTCGTAGGCTGCTCAGATGTAAATCTTGGTAATTGCTTGGGTATTTCCCTTAATGTTAGTAGGCTACTCTTTTTATTTATTTATTTATTATGAGTTCATTATAAATGGTGTCAGGCTTTCCATTCCATCTGAAGTGGGAGTTGCAACACCGCCCCAGAGATGGTCTTAAATGATGTGCAGCCTCTGCTAATATGCTGCCGTGTCACACTAACTATCTATACCTAAAGTAGCCTATAGGCTTTCATATATTTCCATAAGGTTCATCTGCGCACTGCATGCAGTGAGTCGAGTTTCACATGAACCCGGCATCCTAACAAGGACAAGACTTTGGGGCCCATACGGATCCCTGCCCTGGAGTAGGCAACGCTCCAATCATTCTTACTATTTTTTAGTGTGCTGTGCGTGTGAACAGGTGAACAAGTTAGCAATGTGTTGACAACTCATTTTTCTGTGAAGGTCTCCCATGCCACAAAATATTTTTTTCTGGTAGATGAAATGGATATGATTTAATGGCCAATATGACCTCTTTATGAATTTTAAACCACTGACTTCCAACCTTTAGGTTATTTAAACCTTAATCATCATGGATCAAACCTTAATCAAGTATGCTGGATATTTGCACTAGGATCTGCAGGAATTCAGAAGAAGGCAGGGTATTTTTTTTTGAAGAACCTGTGAGTCCTGAGATTTGAAGAAAGCTCCCAATAATTTTAAAGGCAAAATTCCACCAATTTTAAACACATTCCTTTCTCAAAATTGGTGAAAGTGGCTTTTCAATTTCTCCACCACAACATGCTTTAGGATGTAAGATACACTGTGAATCAGAATGGGGTTTTCCTTACAATCAGAATGATGCCAGTGGCTGTTGTTCCTCCACCAGGGCATCTCCCTGAATGCCAGTGGGATGAGATAAGTAGTGTACAGCTGAGTGTGTCAGGGTTTGTGTGGTGAGGCAGGTTGGAGGACCCAAATGCGGGACACACAGCTGGCAGGTTCAGTTCAAGAGATTTATTAAACCAACAAACAAAAGGCGAGCACACTTAATGGCAGAGTGGCTGATTAACAGAGTCCAAAAACAAGGTGATCCAAACAGAAATCCAAAGAAACAGGGTGACAAGACAAGCACAGCAGGCTAAACACAACAACATGAGACAGAGCATATGCACATGACAAAGACCAGACAAAGACTGAGGGGAAACAAGCAAGGATATATACACACACAGGGTTAACGAGCTGGGAAGAGGTACACAGGTGATACTAATGAGACTAACGAGACACAGGCAGGCAGAGAGAGAGCAGGGGAAAACAGAGAGACTGACATGCAGAGGGATTAGTGGGGTGACAGACATGACACAGTTTACTGAACACTAGATGACAGACAAGACAGAACCCCAATACCCAACAGACCAAAATAACAGATAATAAACTGACCAACTCAAAAGTGCAAAACATGGCATGGCTGACAGGCAGAGTGTGACAGAGTGATTTCATGCATAGGTGTCAATAGAGTCAAATAAGCACTCAACATACTTCTTATCCTAAATATTTCTTGTTCCTGATACTCAGTTTTTATTCATAAACAAACCTGATGTCACTATAAAGAAGCCCAGCCATAACCAACATGCTCTGTTTATGCCCCAAGTCTTTGTGCAAGATAATTCTGTGTAAATCTCTTGTGATTTACCATAGTCATCTTACAAATCTTATTAATAGTAAGCATGATGCAGGGAATCTAAACCCCTGAATACATTGGATGGCACTAGTCTTAATTAAATGTTGAGCCCTTTACCCTGCCAAAGAATAAAAAGGAGACACTTAATGCATTTGCCATCACAGGCAGATGAAAAGACCAGCACACAGGGATATCACATCTTAAATACATTTATTAACCCATTCCATCTAACAGCTAGCATCCAGCTGTAGTCATCTATCCACCAAACATCCTATGCATTATTGTATCACATTGACGGGGAGAGTTGCAGCAAGCAGGTGCAGGATATCTGAGGTTTCTGGTCTTTGCATCAAACAATCTGGAAAGTCAGGATTCCCATCAGAAACCCGTAATCTTAAAGTAGGGAAAGGCGGTTATTCTTTTTATTTCAGGATATCACAGAACTCTGTGGGGGGAGAAAAATAAACAGTGGAATCAGTCAGAGCTGCTTCCCGGACAAGAAGTCAGTGTCACACATCATTATGGTTAAAGATGACTAAACAAGCAACAAATATTTTTTTGCTGGTTTGAGTGCATACTTTCATAATGTTTATGCTTTTTATGGACTTCAATTTCACTACTAATGGACAGCTCCCCTGTGCTCCTTTTCTCATCTGCCTTTTTCCCCAGATGTCTTACATGCACCCACCTTCCATCCCGATCTTGCCATCGCCATCCTTATCTCCTGCAGCCATCAGAGTCTTGGTCTCTGCCACGGTCAGCTCCCTCGCCCCCGGAGAGAAATTCTGAAGGAACAGTCTGATTGGTGGACAAAAAATATCAGTGATAAGTTCATCCTTGTATCATCATAGGCTTTATCTTTTTCTGATGGCATTTTCTTCCCATCTAGGCCTTTCTGAGCTTTCCTAAATCCCCCCATCACTCACACCAGTCCTCCCCTTATGTATTACTGCAGCAGTATTATTCACAGTGGAAATGCTGCTCCATTCATACTGTGACCTCTGCCTGAGGGCCATCACAAAGGAGTTGATGTAACACACAAAATACACGCACACACACACACACACACAAAATCCTTACTTGAGCTCCTCCTCCTCAATGTATCCACTCCTGTCTTGGTCCAGAACTGTGAACACTTTTTTCCCATCTGCATCAGATGAGCCGTTCAGTCCCACTTGTGCAAAGAAAGACTTGAAGTCAAATGTGCCCGGAGCTACATAGCAGAGAGAGAGAAAGAGAGAGAGACGAAGAGAGCAAGTGAAAGAGATGACAGATGTGGGAGAGAGAGGTCAATCACAGAATGACAAGAAAGCAGAAAAGCAAGAGGCTGAATAGAGATGTCGCATTTACTTATTCGCTCAAATGACTTTTATTCTACAACCGATGGCATTTACCAATATACACCCTGTAGCGCATCACTGTCTTATATACCATTATAGACTGTGTCATTATGCTATTGAAACACTCAAAGCACACTGAATATTGCCCGTGGGTCTAATGCAAACCTAAATGTTAAAAGCCCTTCATTTATCAAGCCGTTTGGAGTGGAACTTCGGATCTAGGATGAGTTAGTCATTGAAAATGATTGGCTGAATGAGACTTGCAGCCGCAGTAAGAAAAATTCAGATTTACACTCTGCTAACCTCACTTTCATTAGATATTTTAGTTTCCCATCACATCTTAGAACAAATCATAGAAACACCACCTTAAACAGATAGATGCAAAAAATAGTCTGAATGCTATTTTGCCTAAAACATTGCCAAAGGGGGGTGGGTTCCTTGAATATAGGGCATATAAGCACTGACATTTGATTTTCACCAAAGCAGTTGAGCTGTGTCTGCCTTGCCGTGCAGACATAGTTGCTTAATAAATGATTTAGTGCTTTAGGATGTGATTTGGTGTTCTTTGTGTGAATGCCCATCATAAACACTTTGGTATCTGGGTGGTAACTGCTCTCCTGCCACATGGCTGCCTGGTTACCATAGGCTCCCTGATGAGCACAACACACACCAGTGGGTTTAACATTCCCCCCCCCCCCCCCCCCCCCCAATATGTGAGTGAATGTATTTTCACTTACTGTAAAGTATATGCTCTTGGGTTAATGATAAGATCCGTTGTAAAGTGTGTGTCTCCCTATGTGCGTGTGTGTGTGCTCTCTGACTCACTTTGACAAGCCTGGACCGCAGCCCTGATGTCCTCGTCGTTCAGCATCCCTGCAAATGCCATGGTCCTCTGTAGCTGCCTGAGGGAAACAAACAAAACATACACGGAGGAAATGCAAAGTGACAGTAAATGAAACTGGTGTTTTCTGCTGTCAGATAACAGTCTCTGTCAGATGAAACAGTCAGAACTTGTGGATAGATTAAGCATAATCTTTCCCCGGCGGTTAGTCTTCAGGTGCATCAGCACTGTTAAAAAACAAGTTGCTGAGTTGTACCTTTTATCAGTAGGGTTGGATCATTTTGACAGTAAGTGACAACCAGATTAATAGAAGATACAACTGTTTTTTGTTTTCTCAGAGAGAGAAACACATATTTCATCATATCACATGGGTTAAATCATATGAAAATTAGAGATGTTGATTCAAGTGTCGTTTTACAAAATGAAATCATTTACTTCCCCACAGAGAAAGTTGTTGCAAGGAGCAAACACAAAGAGCGCTGTACATCCTATATTTTTCATTCCCCCTTTATTTAAAGCAAAACTATAGAGATGTTCCAAGGCACAAACACACAGAACTGTCAGCTATCATTGCACAAACAACATCATGCACAAGAATTTGCAAAAAGCTTGGTACTCACCGTGCTTTGGGTGAGGTTTGCACTGTTTGATGTGCAGATATCTGCCTCTCTTGCTTTGTGCTTATAAACCACCGACACTCTCTCGTAGCTTTGTAATCCAGAGTGCAAGAAGCAACCTGACGTAATTGCCCTCAAACCCAGAGAGATTTCCCCCCACGCCACAGTCTCCTCCTCCTTCATCAGTTAATCAGAGCAGATAATTTTCTCACGCAAATTGTTCTGCAAATTTAAGAAACTTAAAAGTATATGATAACCCCATGATATTACATGATAATGATAAATATAAATGTATTTTACCAGTGCAACCTTTTCTGCTTTTATTGCTACCGGTACACAACAACAACAACAACAACAACAAACACAACTACTAATGCGCTCACTATTGTTCATAATAATATTAATAAGGAATAATGATATAGCATACAGGAGCAGGTGTTCAGGAGATGCAAAACTTTTCAGTAGATGAGATGAATGTGATAAATATCAATCAGCTATGTGTGTCTTTAATTTCAGTATTAATTATGTCTGGTAATTAAAAGAAAATAAAGACACTGTGTAAACTCATGAATATGCAGTTGTCATATTGTAAGTCGTAGCTATATATAGGTCTAACAAAGAGGCAAATATGTGGGTTTGTCTTGTCAACACCCATACACAGAGCATTACAATAATTAAATCACTTGATATATTCTTTATTAAGGTTTAATCACACCTAATAGAAAGTCAGTTATCATGTGCTAAGACTTGAAAGTCATCAAAACAGTATTATGTAAAGAACAAACTTACAGTTATACAGAGGTATGGCTGTATTTAATTGGGATAATTAACCTATGACTGTACACTTCTTCAATACCTTTTTAATATTCACATATACTCTATAATATCTGTACATTGTAGCTCCACTGTGCATATGGTAAGATATAGTACAACTGCACTTATCTGTATTAAACACTACATTTCTGAACTGTATTTCATTAGCTCTGTTCTTATCTAATCTATGTTTCCTTTATGTTTAGCTATTGTGATCAAAATAATATAATACTTGCCATGAGTAGGCTATTTAATCATGGGAAGTACCGAGTTTCCCTGTAGATCTAACGCCCAGCAAAATTCATATGGAATCACAAGAAAGAAAATGAAGACCACAAGAAATAGATCACACTGCTTATGCAAGCATCAGTACACGAGTCAAATTACCCTGTCCATCTGTTAAATGCTGCTTGGCAGTTTATGATTGGCATTAAAGTAAATTAACATTTACTATAGACAGGTCGCCTCTCTCTCCTAATCGGTATTGCATGCCTCACGTGGTTGACAAGTGACTGCACGTAAAAAAAAAAAAGCTTTCTTCAGCTTAGATACAAAGCACTGGATTTGCATGACTGATATTAAAGCTCGAAACTGATTGGCTTTGCGTCTTCAACGCGAAGGTATTCTTCGTTGTGATTGGCTTGAGTACTTGTCAATGATTTCAGTTTGCACGCCTCATTCCGTGATGTGACGTTGAACAGGAACATGGCGCTTTGGAGGAGAGGTGTTTCATGATACTCAGAGCTATTGATTAATTTGCTTTAGCTATGATCATTTAAATAACATTTAGGCAAATACGCCAAATATGATAGGTCGTGAAAGGTGATCGCTCATTTTGTCTCCATGGACAACGAGGCTCTATATTTCTTTGCGGTGTTTGCTGTCGTCAGCTGAAACTGTTAGCACTGATATGCTAGCGTTAGCTGAGGCTAGTTAGCTGGCTAATAGTAAGTCGCTAACGTTAAACATACAGGAACTATGCTTGTTTACGTAGACTACACGGACGTTAAACTGAGTATCAATGATTAAAACACTTAATGTAGCATCTAATCCGCCATTTACTATTTAGGACGACGATTCCAATAGCTAACATTTGTGTGCTAAGCTAGGAGGATGAAGAGCCGCCATGGATATGTTTTGTTGCTGGCCAGTGGGGTTTTTCTGTCGGCGTTCTGGCTGTCTGAAGGTGCCCCTCTTCTGTATCCACACAAATCAGGTAAGACATCTGACCGAAAGCTGATACATAGCTAAGCGATTGTTTGTCCATTCACTACAAGTCGTGTCTATCCAGCTGCTTAGCTTAGAAGTTAGATGTTTATGTGGGCGATTTGTTTTTTCGGGGTAGCTGTTGCTAATCAGCAGCTATAGGCTAACAACACAACAACCTGGCAGCATTTCCTGCTAACCAGTGAAGACCGTGATTAGTGTGTGGATACTTGTACTAACTGTTTGAGCAAAGTGTTTGAGCAAAGTGTTTACAGGATAGCAATTCTTATTTCTGTATAACGTTATATGGACCGGTAAATATTTTTATGATCCTTGATGATGATGGAAAGTAGCAGCATGTCATCGTCACGACTCAGCGAAGTTAAGCACAAACATTACAGTTGTCCTCTACTAGAACTCCGAAAATACTTATTAACTAAATCTAGTGATATTTAACACAAATAAATCTGCCTCCAGGTAGCGGTTATGTGTCTGGTTAATATAGAACAACCTATTGTAACTGCAGGTACAGACATGTTTAACCTTTCAGTGGGGTTGATGCTGGCATTAAACAAGTTTATGGGACAGTGGACTGGATGTTGGCCTGCCAGCATGGAAACACTGTTTCTTATTGTTTTGATCCTTGAATAACCTCTCTGATGATTATAGTGTCCTGGCACTTTTCCCACATCACACGATTTGTGTGTGCCATATTGTCATATGCCAGTGTGATTAAAAAACACTTAATATGCTAATTCAATCAGCTTTATTTGCTCGGTATGTGTACACATACGAGGAATTTGACTTTCGATCATACGTTGCTCACAACGAGCTTACTCATACAATAATAACAACAGACGCAGACTACAGTATACAGAACACATACACACACTACAAACAAAACAATTTAGACAGATCGAGACAATAGTGCAATAAGCAGAGTGCAAAGGATGCAGGAGTAAATTATTATTATCATTATTAATATAATGTACTGCTCGGAGGTGGATGTGATATACACATACATGCATACATACACATGTACACAGTGTGATGGAGCATAGTGCCAAGGATATTGGAATAAATAAGTATTATGTGCAGGTGATATGTACTTTAGAGGTAGATATGAGATATACAGTATATACAATACTAATTAAGAGATTCCTGCTCAGGACAGATTTACAGAGACAGGAGGTATTTTTTAAAAATATCAATTTTGATGAATCAAAAAATAGTACACCAATTTAAGTAGGTGAATCAATTCAATCAACAAACCCTACGTTGTAGAGGCCATTCATCCACTCAGAGACAAGGGTAACGGTGTCAGTGTTTTCACTGTTTTTTGCAGCTTCTCTTGTATAACCTGCTTCCTCGTGAGAACTGAATAGATGCATACAAGGATATGCTGTAGTGAGGGTCAGTAATGTGTAACTGTAAAACATTCCAATCTTATTGGCACAAGTCAATGATTAGCAACACTGCTGTTTGCTTAATCATAATACAGCATACAGAAAACTGAGGTTGCCATATCAGCATGTTTTATTAATACTTTTATGACATAGCAACCTGTTCTTTGCCCCACATTCACCAGCGTGTCCAGATGTGGTACAGTGATAGATAGCCTACTTGATTGTATAACGTTTTGGTTTAGGCTATGGATTGTGAGTTAGATCACACCTAGCGGTGCCTCCTGGGCACTGCCGAAGGAGGCCTTGAGCAAGCCCCTGAACCCCTAAACTGCTCGGGGCGCCGCACTGAGTGGCAGCCCCCTCACTCTGACATCTCTCCGTGTGTTGCTATGGGTCCTGTTTGTGCATGTGTGTGTATTTTGGTCCTGTGTGTAAATACTAACAATAATAATAAGAGTGAAAACACTGAATTTCCCCTTGCGGGATTAATAAAGTATATCTTCTTCTTCTTCTACAGTGTCCATTGTGTTGACTTTTGCCGGCTGAGCAGGCTAACTTCAGGTTTAGCCCGCCGTTAACTTGAATGGGGTTAAAATTATATACTTGCGGCTGTTATAGGCTTTTCAAATATTATCGACCAAATGGATCACATTATGATAGTGAAACGAGTCATTTCGCTTGGGTTGTGACGCTCAAATATATTGATTGCCCGCTAGTAATATTTACTTCAAAGCACTGAGCACTTCCTGTCGGCTTGGAGGCATTGCAAGGCTACCCAGCTGACCAATGACAGTTCTTACGAGTTGCCCCGACGTGTAGTTACATTTTTGAGGAGGTGCATGTTAGGCTATGGCATAGACTACACTGTCGGTGGGACGTAGAAGTATTATCACACTATTCCACTCTTCCAGTTAAGAGTAATAACTGGAAAGTCACTTGTAAAGCTGGTCTTTTAAGGGAAATGAGCTGTGTTTACACACATCAAACATGGGTAAAGGTAAATAGGTAAGCTTTATCAGACGCTTTAGATTGAATGACAGCCAGGTGATAGTGGCATGTCTAGTCTGTAAGACAAGGTGGATGTTGGCCTTAACCTTCCACTATGTTGCTGAGTGATTCAATGGCTACCACCCCAGGCTGAAGGGGATCCTGTTTTTACAAACCAGCCCATCTTTTATGTTGCAGTCAAGGGATAAGGCTCTAGCCAGAGCTCCTCTGCTCCAGTCCAGTTGAAATGACAATACAATTACAATTTATTGGTTGTTTTTGCGTTGTGAGAGTTACAAAAAAGACTGCATGGAAATGTTGACCAGCCTATATAATTGCGTTCTTTTATTGTTTTAACTGTTAAAATTTTGCTGAATGACAGACAAACACAGTTTTGCGAATGTGGGTCCTTACAAGAGCAGCCATGCGTATTGGCTGCTTCATATCGCTGGGCTCTTGATCGATGAGGCTCAGTGCTTCTCATCTTAGCAGACAGACAAATCTTAGCCGAACCCAAACATGTCAGTCAGACAATGCCATCCTTCATGTAACTGAAAGTACAGACATCCACTGTTGTGCACACTGGTGGGTGATCTCTGCAAAAATGGGTCAGATCCCCCTCTGTATGAATGCCTAGTGAAATATGCAGTGGAACCGAAATGAGACCTGGCATCTCCCTGCTGTATTGGTCCCAAAAACCAGTTGAGTCGTTTGTTGGGGTCTGCCAAGTCATAATATGAACCCATGACTCAGATAAGGCCTAACTGAGGTGAACTGATCCCACGTAGAGCTGCCGTGACCCAGCTGCTGTTTTTTCTATCTGACTGCTGCTGCAGCCTCTCAGGGAGTCCTGTGCTGCCTGGAACCCTGTTGCTTTGCTGATAACAGACGGAGTGTTTGTGTGTGTGTGTGTGTGTGTGTGTGTGTGTGTGTGTGTGTGTGTGTGTGTGTGTGTGTGTGTAAAATATATATATATATATATATATATATAGCTGCCTACAATTAGAGCCAAATGTTTTTCACAGGATTGGTGTTAAGTGTTTGGCTTGGAATTCTCTCTGAACGACTGCTCCAGCCAATGACAGATACTCATTTTGTAAACTGTAATTGTAGATGGCAGAAGTGTTTTGTAAAAAAAAAATTGCACACATGATTAGGGATCTGACAGGAACGAGCTTTGGTTTATCATTACTTTGCTCTTGATTTCTAGATGTCGGAAATTCTTGCCAGACTAGAATTATGCAACATGTATTTCATATCCGGATGGTCTTTGTGGAAGACCCCACTCAAGGGTTTCACTGCCTGGTGGTGGTGCCCACCTTGGTGTAGTACTGAAGGGGGTGGGGTGGTCAACCTTCGTATGGCATGACAACAGTGCAGTTATGCATGCAGTAGATATTGTTTCCTGCTGTAAATCTTTATAGAGGCTTGATGTTTACCTTAATTATAGAATCCTGTTGCTCTGTGCCTCACCACTTCAACCAACAACTCAATGATCAAGGATATCTTTATTATCCCTAGGGGGCAATTTGTTGTACAGCCAGCAGTAACCAAATAGCTGTCAGACAAACATTAAATATAAATCACACTGACTTATTTAAAAGGCCAGGGGCAGCAGGGACAAATGAGTTCTTAAGTCCATTGGTTCTGCAGATTGTATTGGGCCAGATGGACGTAACTTGAACTCCTTGGACAGGGGGAGGTGAGGAACAGCCAGGATCACATAAACGTGATGTCCAAAATAGAGATTTAGGCCAACTAAATTTGATTTATTGATGTATCCTAAGCTACTGCCTGTGATTCTCACTGAACTGTCTGGGACACCACAGTTTTCTTTTGCTTTAGTTTTTTTGCTGTTTTCCACCTATTGTGGTGATGTTTTTTGTTTACCTCCCAACAATGTTAATTTGTCTGGATTGCTCTCTCCTTAAAACTTTCTTCTTCTTATGCTATGTATGTCACTTGTTGTAGCGTGTCCTGTCGGGAGACTGTGATGAGTGTTGATTGTATAGTCTGACCTAGAATAAGCCTTAATTGTTAAAAATACTGTGTAGTCTATGGTTTCTGTAGATGCATGTTATGCAGATTCAGTCTATTAGCTTGGGCTGCGTCAGTTCCTTTCGCTTGCAACTGCTTTCAGTAGCCTGTTTACTACTTAACAAAGCCTGTCACTTCCCCCCTGATGTCAGTGATTCATTGCAAGGTAGGAAACACTTTAATTTAACAGTTGTAAGTACACATCTGCATTGAGAGCTTCATCTACTGGGCCTGCGTCCTGACTATAGACCCATTTAATCTTTAATTCCTGTTCTCATCAATATTTCACCACAGACACTGTTTCTCGATTGCAATCTGAAGCACAGAGGAGAGGTTTGTGAAAGGAATCCAGTCGAAACATTTCCACCATTTGCAGTTTGCATCACAGTAGATCTCTTTACTTTTCCTAAAGGCTAAGTGGCCTGTGGGGTCTTTGACTCACCATCACAATACACTTATCTCAGAGGTAGGGGAAACAAAGTCGTTTGGGGTGTATGTATGTATAAAGTGCAGTAGGAAAATGTAAAGTGAAAGACATTTGGAAAAAGACAGAATGCGTGGAAGAATTTTATTTTTGATC